TTTGCATCTGCAACTGTCTGCTTCGATATCAAAAGCTAAATTTCCCCTCCTCACACGGTGACCTCGATGTTCGCCATTAATGAAGAAGTCCTATTGGTATTTCGGTCCAATTCTCGTCAAATGAAAACTTGTCAATTTTGATCCTGACGGCGAGATTTCCAGTCGAGCCTCCGGTGATCCTTACAATCGGGAAAGAAATGGGACGATTTGTTTCCAGAAGCGAACGAACACATCAAAATTCACAAATGGGACGTCACGCCGTCCAAATCCCGCCGCTGTCGTAATTTCGCGGGGATAAACTTCCAGCATGGGGAAATCTCACCCGGGTCCCCGAGTTTGTCGCATAATGACACTAAATCTACTAAAAATGAAGTCTAAGTAATATTGATGATCTTTTAAATTTGGTCGCATCATTTCAAATCTTCAGCATCGTCAGCAGCCAAATGTTGTAATATTGGACAATTCATTTGCCGCATTGTTCCCTGCTTAGGGGTCTAGATTACAAAATAAGGGAGTAATGTGCGGTAAATACGAACGTTGTTAGAGCACATTACCCAAATCTATTTCTAAGCACTTTGGATGCCCCGAATTTACTAATTCATTCTCCAGCTCAGAAGGACTCTGGACAGCATGAATAGGGGAGTAAACGGGAAATAAAGGAGAGAGTAAAGAAGGGTGATGGTAGAGAATAACCGCTGAGGAGGGCTAAGCCGTGGCATATTGGGCAGTCGGCTTGTAGCTGCCTTACTGTGTTCCTCTTCATCATGGCGCTATTGACATATCTGTACAGGCACGGTGCTGGGAATGGGAACCACCAAAACACTTGCTGTAATAATTGTGAATAAAAATTTTATTGTAACCTCTAATCTTGTTGATTGGAAGGTATGAAAATGTTGGTCTATCTTTGTGTTGCATGTCTTCTTATATGTAAATTGGAAAACATTTTTTTGGCACTGTGGGTTTGTTTTATTTTATTAAATTGCGATTGACAGCTGTACTGTATCATTGCGAATTGCGAGTTATTATTCTAGTATTAGCAAAATGATGAATCCGTCTTTGAATTTGTTTACAATGAAACATAAAAAAATATTTCAAAACAAAGGTCAAAAAGTCTTTACAGCTTACAGACTGAGGGATAACATCCAAGGAAGCCAAAAATGTACCTACTAAGAATTAAGCTACTTGCATAGCATTTAAAAGGTTAAAACAAATAATATAGGGATGCCTTTCATCTCTGTCCAGCTACATTGCACAACTAAACGGATGAAATTTGACCCTGATCGGGTTGAACAATGGTGCACCTGCCCTGTTGTGTTTGACATGTGTTCCATGTGAATTATTCCCCCTACTTATGCATATATGCAGGGGAAACATATGTTCCTCCACATATCCTTTTCAGCCTCATCGCGAAGCTGAAACAATGGGGTTCCTTCCTGACTGGCAAATGTTTCTGTACCTCCCCTACTGAGTCTGCCGTGCAGGGCTGATTCGAAGCGAAATCCTATTCCAGTAAGAACGCAGATCTAAGCCGACTTCTGCACAGTCGGCCAAGAGTGATAAAACTTTTATGGAGTTTCCCCCCAGGCTTGGTCTTCTGCTCGCGAGCCCGCAAAGGAGCAGCCACTGCACCGAAACACTTAGACCGCATACATAATGAAGACGGGTCGTCGAGCTGATTAGATCTTCATTTAACGTCCCATCCAGCCGGCACACGGGTCCCGTCCCTAATTGGGGGGAGAGCGTCGGGAGTCTCTGCTTGTTAATTGTGTAATGTATCTTCCCTTTCATGCCACCCTCGGGGGAACCCGGGGCACCCCGATGTGACGCGCGAAGTGTCAGCAGCGGGAGGCGATCCCGTCCAATTAGCGCTCAAAGGCGGAAAGCTGCGCTCATTCTGCCAATTTCCCTTTCTATTATCCCATCGTCTTGATGGGGTAAGATGGAGGGAGCACCCTCCTGGGATTATATGATACTCCATTTCTCCCCGCTTCTGTTCAACCGGAATGAATCACGGCTCGAAACGCAGCCCGCGATTGGCTGGGGGGAGAGACCCTCGGCGTGCCGTATTTCACTGCGTGTGCACAATATTGTGGGAAGTTTTCCCCGCGCGAGTCAATCCTCCTTTTTTAATATCGCCACTCCAATCAGCCAGCGTACTGGAGTAGAAAATGGGAAAATCACCCGTACCGGGTTCGGAGCACAGGGGGCACCGCACGCAACCCGAGAGAATCAAGCAAAATGGGAAAAGGGCACAGCCATCGTTCATAAGCTACCCCGTCTCGCCACCACGGCGTAATGCGAGGAGTATTGGCCTGTTAGATCAGGTAATGAGAACATGAAGTGAAAAAGATGAAGACAATCAACCCACAGACACAGCTATGGATTGGCAGCGATGGTGGTGTATTATGGAAGGTCCTTCACAGAATTATCACCCAAAGCCTGCAGTTAACACACATGTACTTGAAAGAATGTGCCTCAATCAATTCTCATAACTTGACTTAATGTACAGTTCTTTTTCTTCAATAACAATGAAGGGTGGCAACTGTCTTAAAGTTGAACATAACAGTGCTTCACTACATTTTCTGACAAAACCTCACCCAACATTCCTTCCTTTTTCTGCAACCTCTCAGTAGCACATGTAAAAAGAAAATTCCCCACATTCTATGATACTGGTAACTGTGTTCGCTGTTCGTTACCTTTCATTTTTTAAGGTAAACTTTGTAAAAACTCTCTTAAATGTTGCAACAGTGTTTCAGCTCATACACTAATGCTGAGTCTGCTGAAATCTTACCAAACATTCCTCCCCTCGGCTAGCTCACAAGAAAAAAGGACCTGATCAAAATTGCACAGTACATAAATTTCCACACTAACTCAGAGTCTGTTGTCTTCAGAAATTACCGTTCATTGTCAGGTTAACTTGCAAAGACTCTTAAAAATCGCAGCAATGTTTCAGTTCATTCTTCCCTCAGCTAGCTCGCAAGAAAAATGGACCTGATCAAAATTACACAGTACATAAATTTCCACGCTAGCTCTGCTCCCTCTCCGAGTTACCTTTGATCTGCTGTAATTTGTGCCCAACCTTTGAACACTACGCCTCCTCCCATCCGGGCTTCCCTCCCACCCAGAGGGACTGACATTTTCCAAACTGACATTCCGCAGGCCCTTGGAAGATGGGGCACCTTGGGAATCCTGATTACCAGGTTCAGCGCAGAACGTGACATTGCACATCTCCTACATTAAGATGCTCTGTGCCTTTAAGAGTTTGAAGCAAAGTCTGACACTTACAAGAAACCAAGTTTCTTACTGACTGACAAAGTTGGTAGGAGGGAAGGAGGCACATCTCTCCTTTAGTCTACAGTCTGTATTGAAATTGACTCTGCTCTGTTTACAATTAAAAGTTAACTAACTAATTTAAAGAAGTCCTGCTTTCTTTTCTTCGATTCAATTTTTTTGAACTTACTGGTAAGGAAAATTTCTGCTTATTCTTTTCTTCCAGGACCAGTAATTTTCAAGGACAACAAGAAGCCATAGGCGACAATTCTCCGTGAAGTATTATATATTGCAACAAAAAGAAGTAGCCATTGGCGACAATTCTCTGTGAAGTGTGATAAATCGAACAAAGAAAAATTGTTTAAACGCGCGTCGGCGCGGCTCAGTCATCTTAAGACGCAACAACCAATCAGAGATGCGAGATGCCTACACGTGACGCGGGAAGGGCGCGCGATGCCCGAAATATTTTTGCGTCAATATTCAGCGCCGTGATTCAAGAGATTAATACCCGGAAACAATTTTTTCTTGTTTTGAACGCATTAACATGCATTTACGCTAATCTAGTATGATTCAGGGTTACTTTTTTTTTAACCTGCCATGGCCAGATTATCTAAAGATGTGTGTATTGTGTGTACAATCTATAGAAAGAGAAATGTACATCAGGTCCGATCATCCGATTTTCACGTTTCGGTTTTTGGTACTCGGTTCATGAACGTATTTTGGTTTGGCTCCTGGAATGTGCGAAAAAAATGACTCCCGGGACTGTCTACAGGGAACACTCGCACATTCGCGGTGTATCAGGACAGCGCGACTGGTCGTCATTAGCGCAGTAACAGTTGCATAAACGGACGAAACCATTTCAAAGAAATGGGGATGTTTCGAAAATAAGCATTTACTCCAATATCAAAACAGCTACGGTAAAAATAAAAAGACGTGCATCATCCCGGACATAATGCAACACCACATGCGAAATTACACAGAAATGCGACGTACGGAAGAATGCGTTTTGGCTGCGAACATCTTCCAAAAAAACTTGGCATCTCTTAACCATGGGCAACAACATCTGGAACCACTTATAAAAACCACCCCGTATCTGCATGAACTTTTTTGAACCCCACTGCTATTCCAAACAACGCGTTTTTCTGGACCATTCCAATTCGCCTCGTAATTGTAGGGGTGCGTCTGCGATATTACATTGACCGCGAAAGCAGCAACGGCAAAAATACACATTCGTGCATCAACACGGGCATGCCCGCAGACGGCGTATAAAATTGCGTGCCGATTACACAAAGAGAACCCAGTGTTTTGACTGCGAACATGAAAAATCAGCCGATTACAACACTCCGTCCGGAGGTCCTGACCTCCTTCACGGAGTAATAAATGTGCATTCTAGATTACAAAAGTACGTGACAATTCTGAATACTAGTAAACTATTCAGTTTACAGCACTGAATAATGCTTAAGTTGTGTGTTTAAATGAATGAATGATTGAAATGAATAACTAGTATACTGGTACTTATTATAATTCTTAATATTTTGTAGCATATTGCATGTTTAGGACACAAATTTGAGGGCTCGCTTGGACAGTACCTGCCAGAAACCATCAAGTTTAATGTAACTACTGTTATTGTAAGAGAAACATTGACACTGTGGCTTGAACAACATGTTGGTGATACCATAAGTGGAAATATTACATAGATGCAATGTAAAACAGAACACAAACAATCATCATCAAGAAGACCGTTGTAATTTGTGCCTCAATCACAATTACCTATCATTATCAAATAACACATTATTTTGTTGATAACACATTTTGTTGCAAAATTATGACAAAATGACCATCTATTACACATAAACCCGTCCACATCCACATCTTTACCTCTCCCTCTCTAACTGAACATAATAGTTTTATTGACCACAATAACAGAACTGACACATTTTTGATTATAACTACCTAAATAACATTTTCTCTCTCTTAATGTCTCCATTCTGATAACATATTTCAACACTAACTGACAGAACAGAATTAGCATGAACAACTTACTATGAAGATTTGTTTACTCAAATACTGTCTTTGATATGCCCATGGAGAAAACATTAGTCCTTAGATTCTGATCTCATTATTGATTTTGGTAAAATGTTGCAAAAAGTTCAAATTGCTGAGATTGTCTTCTGGCTGTAGAGTTAGTTTTGAATAAGCCCAACCATACTTACAGATACATACAGATGCCACAGGTTTTGTAACTTATGTTGTAAGTCTGTTCTTTATAATAATTAAAGTTTGCTTCTCTGAAGAAGGAACCAGTATGCCAAGTGGCATATTCCAGTGGAATGCTGTTTTTGTTATTTTCCAAGTAAACAACAGTACTGTTGCACAGACATTGCTCATTTTACTATCACAGTATATATTAAGTTGTCATTGAAAAGGGTAATTCAGTTAGTGGTCTTGCAGCCACCTGGTATGTTACTAGAATATTTTTAACTTCTTGACCAACCTGGCTGGTGTGTGACAGAGAAAGTTTGAGAATTGTGCAGGTTTTTTAAAACACAAGAACTACTTCTCCTGGTTAGATATGTTGGTATGCACCGTAGCATATCATTAATAGTTTATAATTATACATCATTTAGTACCATCGTCCCATTGACATCAACAATATGCAAGCGCTATCTAATGTCTAGAGAAGTCTCACCAGAATTACATGTAAGTTGTGACATTTCTAATGAACATTTTTGTAAGGCCAAACTTGGATAATATTATTAAATAATGAGGTGTCTGCCTGTTGCACAACTGTAATACTGGTGTTTTAACAGAACTGCTGGTCTGAACAAAATTAATTTTTGCCTCAAAAACACAAAAAAAAACCTCTGCCAACCAGACGTACATGTAGGCAAAGGTAAAGTAGGCATAATGTATGTGTACAGGACTGTGCATTGCAGACTACTTTAAGATATCTCCCCAAATTCCCCACTTAAACCAGTGCCACATCTTCCTCAATATCTTTACAATTAAAATATTGCTGCGAACAATTTTGACTTTATAAGAAGAACAAGAATATACTAATCTGCAGCAAGACTCTGAAATAACATCGCGATCTACGGGGTGACCATTCGTCACGCCTGCGACAACTTCTGTTTGACCTCCTTAACTAACATGGAACAGATGGCCATTTTTTCGCAGTTGACGGTAATGCTAGCAGAGTTGTCCTCGCCCACCTTGACCGTAACGAGCAGCAATGTCCCACCGCTGACCGTCTTCCCTGCGAATCTGTAGAGCCCGTCCTGGCTGGAGAAGACTGGCGCGACGTTGGCGAGCTCGGAGATGCGGGAGGTGATGGTTTTGGAGTTGTTGTGCTGGGACGGGATGCTGGCCTTGCCCGAGTTTTCATTCATACCAGTTAGCTTACCTGTGGGAGGAGAAAACAACAAACAATATTCATAATCATTAATGAAACTTATTAAGAGAAAAAAGATGATCACACAAAAGAAGAAATTTTTCATCGGAAGAATAAATTTGGAAATTAAAGCTACTAGATTGTATGTATAACTATCATATCATATACAGGACACCTCCTTCCTATGCAATAAAATTTTATTGCTTTCAGCCCAGGGTACATTTAACTTTATAGGAGAATAAAGAAAGCGAACACTGAACACAACAATACTGCAACCATAAACCTGTGTTAGGACAAAACAACAAACGAAAAATTTAATTCATTATCATTAAAGCTATTAAAGAAAAACAGATGATCACAAATCTTTCTTGACAACAGAAGAAGGAATTTCTCCATGGGAAAATAGATTTATACTCAAGCTACTGACTTTGGTATATGAAGTAGCATAATCACAATTTTTCTTTTGACTTTGCATACAATAGTCAATTTTTCTCAGCCCAGACTTTATAGAGCAACTGAACCCAAAAGAATTTCCGATGATTTGAAGCAGCCATCTTCTTAATCCACCTAATAGATCTTTCTTCAAACCTACTTTGAATTGACCTCAGAGTCTGTAATATTCTATCAAAAGGTTCATGATTAGATTCTGTGAACAATCACCACTGTAGCTACAAAAGCTACAAAATAGAGTGGGTAGGGTAGTACTAGGTTGCGACCGCTACACTCCTAGTGCAACTGTTCTGAACCTGTTAGGCTGGACCTCGGTAGCACAGCACCACAAACGAGCCAAGGCTATTTATATGTTTAAGGCACTAAATGGAACGTCACCTCCACACATCTCTCAACTATTCACAACATCCGCCAGTACCCACACAACACGCGACTAAGCACACAGGGGGGACTTCAGCTACCAAAAGCTCCCTTGCAGTACAAAAAGAGATTGCTTTCTTTATCCGGTGCAGTCCTCTGGAGCTCAATTCCTCCTCACGTCAGAAATGCAAAAACTCTCCGTGTCTTTAAGATTTCCTTCTCATCACTTTGCAGTTAATATGATTTCTCTGTTATTTTTTTGCATTCTGTACATAATCATTGATATGCAAATTCAGTTCCATTATCAATATCATTTACATCATTTATATTTATTTACTTGGTTTGTTTTCTGTACGCTATTAATTTATCCTGTTTCTTTTATTATCACAACGATTATGATTGTACCTAAGTTAGTTCTTTTACTTTTTCTGTTATTATATTATGTATTGTTCTGTGCAGGGAGCGTTGAAAACCACCATTGGCAATATGCTACCTCTGGATAAATAAATAAATGAAAAAATGAAAATGTAAAAACCATCTACATTTACATCTACATAGATGGCCTGTGTTTAATCTGCCATCCTTTTGCCTGCATACGTTTTATTTTCATTTCATTACCTTAGGGTACACAGGTTTTTATTTTCCATGTGTCTGTGTGTGTTTGTGTTTCCTTTGTTATTTTTACATGCTGTGCGGAAAACTAGCAAGAGGTAACAAAATGTACAGTGTGTGTGTGTGTGTGTGTGTGTGTGTGTGTGTGTGTGTGTGTGTGTGTAGGTCAAAGGTCCCACAAAAGGTCCCTGTCTTCAACTCAGTCCCTGTCTTCAACTTCCCGGATATATGTTGTAGGTATTTCTTGCTGTTGCCTCATTGGAGCCAGTAGGAAAAAGCATGTACAGAATCAGCAAGAAATCTATGAATATAATGAATAAAACCAGAAATTCACAAAAACTCTTAACTACTTCACAGAGGTATGAGATCTTCAATTTCTTGTTATTTTAGAAACAGGCAGTGTACTAAAATAATCAACTACTTCGCACAGTTCTACAATGACATACACTGTACAGTAAGACACGACCCGCGCAGGAAAAACGTCATCCCAGTCTCGCAGAAGTGTGAGGAGGAAGACAAACGACGGCTCAAACCCGGGGATCAGAGCGGGGACCGGGGGAGACAAATGTGTCTGACAACAGCTCGGTGAGGATCTGTCTGAGCAGAGCGAGTCTTCATGCATCAGCCACAGTCTTCTGCCGTCTGATATTGCTCTTCTGGACCTGCCCTCTTTCCAATGTCTGTCTGTGTTTGTTAGAGGTGTACTGTAGTTGTTTTTTTAGCATGACCTACTGAGTTCAAATGCTTCATACAGATATGTCTAAAATGGTTTCTGGGCCCCTTCTGTTTTAAATTTCTGTTTTTCACAGGAACAAAACAGATTGTTACATTCAGTATGGAGGCTCAAACCTCCTATCATTCAGCTATCAAATTCAAACCACACCCTGCCTTTCTAACCTTCAAGGCAACAACCAAAACAACCAAATTGAATGTACATTTGTATTATCCTACCTTGCATTTAGACATTCTGGGGATAATGATATACTGAATACCTGTCCGATGACTGGTGATTGTTCACAATGTGGTACATGTGGTACAGCTTTTCCACATGCAAATAATGTCAACTTTGCAGAACAATTTGAAATAACCATGAATCAAAACCCTTGTGTGTGTGTAACCCACACTTTCTGAATCTGTTACCTTCTCTGTATTAAAGACAATTATAATTATTAAAGATAGTTACTATCTCACACTTAATTTGACCCCTAATTAGCCTCAAGTTAATGTCGGATTATCACCACCGTTATCCCCTCAAATCATTTCACTTTCTGTTGCAGCTCATCTTTCAATCACAAAATTGAAGTTAAGCCCGTATCTGGTTAGGTGCAGGTTAGGTATAAGTACACATCAAAAATACCTGCACCACTCCAATTTTACCTGCACTCACTTAGGTAGAATGCAAGTTTGAAATATCCATGATTTTTATCAGTCCAGAGGTATGCACATACATTGTAAGAAAAGACTGAAAAATTTGCACAGTAAAATCTCTAAAAACCCAGAGTCTTGCTTCCTGTGTAGGCTGTGGTCCTTTAAAATTCACACAATGTTAAACTGAACATGTGTACCAGACAAGAACAGAGCCACCTGATCAAGCTTTATCTCCCTAACTAATACAGGAAGACAAGCTTATAACAACTCTGCCTAACTAGTGATGTCTATAGATCCTACAATCACTCCTATTCCCATCCAAGCCTCCCCAACCAAAGTCAGGTGCCCATATTACACCTGGGTGGAGCGAGGAAAGTGAAATAAAGTGCCTTTCCCAAGGACACAACATCTAACCTAGAATGCAAGGAATCAAACCCATAGCCTTTTGATCTTGTCAATTGGACATTCAATGCCACCGAAATTAGTTTTAAGTCAGTGGTTGTAGCATGAATCCTTACTTTGCTGTGCTGTGAAGTCAGCCTCGGACATGGTGACAGCCTGTAACAGTTCTCCTACTGGTGGTTTGATGCTCACATTGTACTTGCGGTCCTGGGTGCTGCGCAGGGTGGAACAAAAATTGAAGGGAACAAAAACAAAATATTTCACTCACATCTAAACCTATCACTGAAAGTTGACATTAACAAGCAGAAAAACAAACATAAGAAAGAAATTACACACATTTGTTGTACAAAAAATGCACCAACACTTGCAACCACCTTCACAATTTGTCAAGTACATGTACTGGAATGTCCCCAAGACCTTCTGTAACAACAGAACATAATGGGTGACTCACCATATCTGGAAGTTTGCGGGCTGTATGGTATCCTTGAAGTCAATCCCTATAGACACAGACATGGACCCCCCACCAGGCAGGGTCGGGATCTCCGGAAACTCTTGTAACGTCATCCCAGCCTGCAATTTCTGAGGGACAAGAGGTTGTGGACATTAGGGTAACAAGTTTCAGAGTAGACTGTGATCTTCTGCACCCCAACATACATGTAGAGTAGCAATGCCACCTATTGATGATATCAAGTACTGCAGCACACCACAAAGCTGAATTGTATACATCACTAACACTTCAAAGTAATATATTGCAATAATAGCAACTTAAGTACATTGTAACTTTACAGACTTCATTCAGTAAGACACCTCTAGAATGTTTTTTTCAAAACATTTCAGTTCTCTTATGAACTGAAAGGCAAAGAAACCGTGGTGCAGGTAAAACGTGTCTGTTGCATATAATTTTACCTGCACCAATGCAGATATGCAGAAAACAAAAACCTATCTCTCCCCACCTTCTCCCCTATTCTGATGTTGCTGACTGGTGAGTCGGTGTGGTTGGTGAAGGTGAGCTCCACGGGAACCATGGATGTGGAGTAGATGCACGTGCCCCGGGTAAATCTGTAGTTGGCCGCCAGACCTTCTCCTGTCATTCTGTGCAGCAGCTCGTGTGACGTCGTGGATACAAACATCGGAGTGGTCACCTAGAGAAACAAAATGTAAAACAAAATTCAATGCATAATAGGATTCATGTCATACTGTCATTGGTTCTAGATACAGGGTCATTCCTGCAGAAATTCATGCAGAAAAGGAGGAAAGCATTTGACAATCTTTATTTGTGCAATGTAAAATGATGCAGGCTGTATCACTTTGATTCATTGGGGTAGTCTATTGTAAAATGGGTAGAACTTTGCTGCAATTTTCTTGTTCTCTGTCTTGTCTTCTTGCCATGCTTTTTGTATAAGACCACTTGTTTAAGAAGACTACTTTTCCTTAGTCCCCTGGATAATTGACAAGTTTTATTGTATTTCGTAATTGCTATTTATGAACAGTCCCTAACCCTTATTACAGTCTTGACACTGATAGCTGTGTCCTTCCTGTCATGAATGGACAGTCCCTAACCCTTGTTACAGTACTTACACTGATAGCTGTGTCCTTCTTATCGTTAATAGACAGTCCCTGAAGGTCACTGGCCAGAGATGGACTCAGGACGTCCAGTGCTGAGGCTGGGGTTGGGACAGGTGCAGATGTACTGGACATGTCGACTGTGGAGGGACAAAAATGGGACACATGTTGGTCAGTTTCAGACATTGGTTATGTTAAGGCACCTCTCAAATCAGCTTCAGTCAAGCAGAACCAGGCAGAATGAAGACGGCAAGGTAGTTCTTGGCCACCACTGGTCATACCTTCATGAACACCATGAAGAATTGGTAAATAGTCTAAATACAGTCTAAAACATTATACAGTCACTTGCAGACATGATGAAATCATTGAATTTCATGAAAGCAGGGTTGCTCACTACAACTCCAAGCAACTAGTTTCCTTCTAGCTTGCCAAGGGCTTCACCCTCACTAAATATGATACCATAAACCCTGCCATATGCATAATTATGTAAACCTGTAAACTATATTGTTTTAGACCTTCTGTATCAAGTAACGTGGGGTCTTTCTCCTCCGCTGCCTGGGAGGGGGCAGAATCTGCATTCTCTTTACTTTCTGTAATGAAATGCCTGTTATTCTTCCCATTCATGTAACAACCATTTAAAGGCACCAAAGCAAGTTCAGGGCAGTGAAACTGGATTTTCAAATTCAGTTTTCTTTTAATTTTCTGCCACACACTTGCATCAGTTTTTGGGTGCCCAGAAGATGTAATTCAGCCAAATCAGTATGCCTTGATCTATTTTTGGAACACAAGACAATGTAAAAGAAAATCCCAACTTACTGTCCTCCAGGTCCAGCAGACTGACTTCCTGTTTGGCCTCCTTCTTGGGTTTTGCTGATGACTTACTTTTAGGCGGTGGGGTCTGGAAAACAACATACAGTCATTCACACCTGCACTCAACAGTTAGGAGAGGTGCCAGCCAACTGGAAATAGTCTAACAGGCAAGGACCTACCTTTTTCTGAGGTTTGGTGTCAGGTTCACTTTCACTGTCGCTGTCAGAGTCACTTTCTGAGGAGCTCTCTGACTCACTACTACTGCTGCTGCTGCTCTCTGCTTCCTGTGGAGCAACAAAAATATATCATGGTGGGGTTACTGCTGCAGCATGGACTATACATGTACATGTAATTCATTTAAGTATACTGTTATTACTACACATATAACGGCACACATTTGCACAAAATGCACACACAGAATAGGGAAGAGGCTGGGATCTGAAAAGCAGAGAGCCAACCTGTTTGAAGGCATGATTAATAGGTCTAAATCAACCCAAACAGCAAACGGTTTCATAGATTTTTGCATAAGATATATGTGGACGGGTAGATACTGGTATGTAGCTTAAATCTTCCCCCACTGCAAAGGTACAATGTATCTTCAGACAGTTTACAAATTTAACAGAGCACTAAAGATAGAAAATGGTTCTCCAAAATATCTGTTGAATATGGATTTAATGGCATTAATAGATAACTTATTGGCAGATATCACCCATTGACTTAAGTGCTCCTTTGATGGTTTATAACTTTCATAAAACATTCTCGAAGACTGGGGATGACATGAGAATGTTTCTTACCTCATCGGATTTCTTCTCCTCCTTATCGCTACCACTCTCACTCTTGCTATCATCCTCACTTTCACTTTCACTCCCACTCTCACTGCTGGAGCTGCTGGACTCCTCACTGTCCGACTCAGATTCTGGAGACAGAAGAAACGGACAGGTTGACATTATTTCTACAGAATCTTATACACATGTGCAGGGCAAATACACAGGTAAGATAACTGGTGCAGGAAACATTTTAAATAACCATCCTGTACCAGACAAGTTTTAACTACACAAACGAAATAAGCAGGTTTGTAGGACTTGATGTATAAATTATTCATCAATCGGTCGCTGCTAGAAATCTAGTGGAAGTCATTCAGTGAAGAGTACATCCCCATTCCCCCCTGCCATTGCATTGGGCTAGTCTCACACAGTCTCATTAACATTCCTCCAAGAACACCAGATGGACGGCAGGAGGGGGAGGGGTCACCAATTCCACTGATTGGAAAGCGTTGACCTTCAACCCACAGTCGTCAGATTGATGTCTCTCATCTCACACTTCCCTGATTTCCTCTGAAATTGTTCTCCACGGAGCTTCTTCGTTTCAGGCTACAGATTTTCTCCTCTATTAATATTCAATCTCAGCGACTAGAATATCAATATGCTCTTTATTTGCTCTTTGTGGTTATTCATGATGACAGTTACCACAAAACTGTTCCTTCTACATGTACTTGTTTGGTCTTCTTAAGGTGAATGATTCATTATCATTTGTACGTCAGAGCTTAAAATGTCCTGCATATGCTGGTTAGTTCAGCACTTCAGGGGCTGTTGATGTAAGTACATGTTGTTTTGTACATCTCAGCTGCAGAGAAAACAAAACATATAGACCACTATTTCTGATATCTTTTTTTTTAATTTTTCATGCTAGAGCTCACCTGATTCTTCCTCCTCGTCAGAGTAGAAGGCTTCCTTCTTGGGCTTGCCTGCTTTCTTCTTATGGGTCTTCTCAGCCCATGGCATGGGCACCTGGGGGAGAGGAAAAGAACATCTTAAAGATCGTTCATTTCTAAAAAATGTTATAGGGTACTTGGAAAGAAAATGATGGCTGATCTCAAGAAAACAGAGAAAAAATGTAGAGGAACAAGACAGTAAGACAAATATGTATTGGGTATAATTTAAATATACCAAACAAGAGTGGTCTTTTGAGTGATTATGATGGGGGAAGGTATTGAAAATTTACTGTCTTGTACCTCTATTTTGTTTGTCTTGGACAGATCATTTCTCCATGCTAAAGTAGGCATTTGGCACCAAATTTGTATAGTGGTTAGGCACCAAGGAGAAGGTTAAAGAGGATTTCATAACAAGAGGAGACGTCATTGAAATGGAGTCTCTCTGAGGAAACCAAATTTTCCTGGCCACTTGTCAGTATTGAAATGAAACCAGTAAGAGGCTTCAAGATTAGGTACATGTAACATTAAAAGATGACATTAACAGACAGATTTTGGACAAACACAAGAAGACAGCATCACAGAGAAGATGTGGTATTCTACTAAGTCAGTCACACCACCCAAAAGTCCCCTGTAACTATATATTTGCTCTGCACAAAACCTACACCATATAAAGTAAACACCAGAAATAACATCAAACAACAAATTGTTAAACAAACAGATGTTTGTGCTGAATTATCTGCAGTAGCTTTGTGTTAACCTTACATGTATATTAAGGTGCCTAAAGACTGACTTGAAACCTTAACAGTAAGTGATTCACAGTATCTCAGACTATCTAAAATTTCAAATTGTTTTACATTCAAGACGTACAAAACCGTTCTTGTGCAACCAAATATAGTAGTCCTAAAAGTTAAACAGATTCTGAAGCTCTATCTCACAATAGTTTTTTTGCCATTATCATCCATTAAATAAAAAAAAGTACAGATTTGACATGATATACATTGTATATGCCTATCGACTACAGATCAATTAAAGGTCATAACACTTCACAAGATTATCAGAGCTACACCTCTATAACCTGGCAGTCTGTTTCCTCCTGTGCACTGATGATATCGCACACTTCAGAGTTCCAGAATACCAGACACTTGGCCACCGGCCCAACCTTTGATCTCAATGCTACAGGCTGTCCTTCCTCCATGCCAGATGGCTCAGCAACTCTGATATCTGAGATGTGAGTTCAGGAAATGAAACTTTCAGGAGCAAGCCTGTTGCCAACCACTGATACCCCCGGCCAGTAGCAACAGCGTGGGAGACTGTAGCAAAGTATCAAAAGTAGGTGGCCTGGCTGTTTGTTGCCGTGAAAATTCCTCACAGTTCACTTGCTGGCCAGTGTTACAGTAACATTGCGCTGAGTGCAGGCAACTGAGATCAAAGCCTGCCTGGTCTGCACATGAGCATCTCTTTAGGAAAAGTAACAACAAACTTTAAGTGAAGCCAACCATTCCTCTTCTCTACAACTGTTCTTGACATCAAGGTAGTATACAGCACTACAGTCCGTCAATGTTTCCCCTACACGACTTCCAGGCCCACACAAGTGTGTTCTTGAGATAAGTAACAAACTTGAAGAGCCGACCAATCCTCCTCTCCTCTACACCTCAAGGTTGTGTTCCAGACTTTGGTCAACCTAAATGTTTCTGTGCACGGCTGCCTGGCTTGCAGAAGGGTGTGTCTCAGAAGATGAGCTTCAACAAAATCCAAGAAAACAACTCCTTTTGTTCTCTGTAGCTCCCTCAAGACAATGTTTAGTCCTTCAGTCCAGAGTCTTCTTTGCAGCACCAGACTGCCAGGAACAAACAGTCTACCCCACTACATCGTACAGGGACTTTCCTGACACGGACAAACCACAGGAAAGGCCAACTGATCACACACGACGAGGACTGGTGACTGAAGCATCCTGACTGACACATGAGACAGGATATCTGTATAAACTGTCTATCCTGACTCGCCTTGTTGTGATAAAGTTTCCAACTTGTGGAGTGTGTGAGGTATCTGTCATCTGACACTCCCAGCTGCCACGTTTTCGTGCCCTTGCTGTACATTGGGCTGAGACCAAGGCACGTTGTATGCTTGTGGCATGAGCAGGGTCATTCTGGCCATGGGAACCAGGCTACGTTTACTCTACATCTGTTATGGTTACCAGCTACAGTAATGGGTTATTAAAAAAAAATACTGTTGAAGGCAAAAATTCCAACAATTCCGAAATTGGTACACCAGTTAGTCAACACTCCTCATGTTTGTAACTACAGTACCGTTCGCGTTATAGTTACCCTAACGGCCGTTACTAACGCGTTTTTTTTCCGTTACTTTTCCGTTACTTTTCCGTAAGTTTTCCGTAACTTTTGCGTAAGTTTTCCGTTACTTTTCCGTTACTTTTCCGTTAGACTTCTGCATTCATATGCAGGCCGCGGTAACATCACAGAATAATGGGAGGAGTACTAATTTACCTCATGCGGGGCGGGAAATTACCGATACACACCGCTGGAACAGCGGAAGGAACGTTGATCTAGCCTGCCTTTTACTATATTGTAACGTTTAAAACGTTTTACGATCTTTTGTCACTGTTGCCCAGGCAAGCGTTTCTATAGTTTGTCAACTTTGTTTTGCTGTTTTTCTCTGTTAACTTATTTTACCACCGAATAAGCAAACCTAGATGATCTGAAGTTATAAATGCCCCGGTCCGCCGTACATAATAGGTGGCGGGCGTGAGGTAACGTTAGGGATGTGCAAAAACATCGTGGAAAATTCCTATAACACTCGAAAAAAGGCAGCATATTTACACGTGCCCACCAACATTTTTATGGCTAATTATTGACCAGTTTTGGGGAGTTTTGTTATGTCCTTGGAGTTTTGTTTAGAGTGGGACGGAAAGCCGTGCCGCCACTCCGACTCCATGCACTTCCGTGTTACATTACGTTGTATGTGACCAACAAAATTACGCCAAAGGCACCACAAATCCACATGTACATATATTTTTTTCCCGAAAATTCTTTTGAGTACGCATTTCGTCACTAGGATGTTGCTAATTAGTCGTAGAAATAAGGTAGAAACCAGCGTAAATGTGGCTCTCTCGAGATCATTTCGCGCGGGGAAGGGCGCCCCAGCATGCAACGGGCTTCGTTCTAGCCAATCACAGCGCAGGTCATCTAAGGTGAACCAATCAGAGCGTAGCTACTTGCATATTATAATGAGCATGCTGCAGGCCGCGGCCAGGGCGACCGGCCCTGAGTGCACGGGAAATGTGTTTTGCAACTATATTTTTACGAGGATTTTCTGACGTTTGACGCTGACTTTGGCACGATATGATCGCACTACCATGTACACGCTACCGTAGGCGGCAAATGAGTGGTCATTTTTATATAATCGTCGAGAAATTTTGGCGTTATGCACCCGGAAGTGAGCCGATCTCAGTTTGCGTTCCCTCGATTTTTGACAGTTTCCCCCCTCAAAATAAGAAACAAAACTACCGCTATTAAATAGAACCATGTATTACAATTATCATTTCAACATGATAGATCTATTATATATTCCTTTATTAACTATGATATCATCATGGTTGTGGAAAGTCCTCAGCTGGCGAACCGAGTCCTTGCGCCGGGAGTGACGGTACATTTTACCGTGAGTATTAAAGCCGCTAGTACTAGTAAGCCGCGCGCCTTACAAAAATTATAATAATTTTTCTTTTGTGTCAAAAACCGCCGTGAATTTAAGGCATGAGTTTATATTTCTTCTACGGCAGATATTTCTTGTTTCGTCACGTCCCATGACGTCCTGTGAGAGCGGTAGGCCGCCGCTGGTACAAAATGTACAAGACATCGTCTGCCCACTGCTACACTTTGTTGACATACATTGTATTACACAACGTAATTTTCCGCTAGAAATAACTATAGAATAGCATTAAAAGATAGCACAATTCGCTTCACACAGTCGACACATGGATAAACCACAAAGTTATTTTACGAATCACATGTCCACTTGCCTCTGGTGCTGTTATTTTTCAAGGGGCAACATCGCAATGTCTGGTAGCAATGCTGCATTGTGACCCTGAGAACAACTGGGCCATGTGGAGGGTCTGTGATACCCAGCTATTCCTACAATTCTGGGTGGGTGCTAGCAGTATTTAGGCAGGACATTCTGTGCCGATACAAAACCTGGGTTTTCGATGGATGTTTGGTCAACGTTGCATCAGAATTTTGCCTGTCGCAGAAGATATCTTTTCCAACACCACATTTGAAAACTACACATATATACAGGATGTCATCCATAAATATGCAAGTACAACATTGATTGAGACATTCTGCTGAAGTGCTATGCACAATACATTACCGGATTCACCCTAGCGCAGTATGTTTTGCAGATAGGCCAATTGGTGCTAGTAAGTTGATGGGGGGGGGAGGCTATTTCACACGACAGGTTTTCACATTCAGACACTGAGCTATCTGAAACATCTAACTTAATAGAGAATTCATCTTCATGTAGTTGATTGATTTTTTCTGTATATACTACATGGCGGCAGCAGCAGCCGAGTCCAGGGAGCAGAGTCAGTTCCATCCAGTTCAGTTCTGTGAGCCCTGCAGATCCAAAATGGGACTCCTGAGCCAGATGCGAGTGCACATCAGATATTAAAGAAGCCTTCATCGACAACGATGGACAACCAAGATTCTGCTGGGAAGTTTCTACTTCAGGAGAATTCTTCTGGATACGTTTATTTGGTTGGCAGCCAAAACTACCACTCCAGGGGACATGTGGGCTTATGTGCATTAAACTGTTGAGTCTACATACAGGACCTCTGTTTTAATGTTGCACCTAAAGGCCAAACAAATTAGATTTTGTGGATGACATCCTCTGGACTGGCTTTGAACCTGATACTAGAGTGAAGAAACATTCAATGTGTTGCCCAGTAGGCTTACAACACCAAGCATTCATTTTACTGCAACATTTAAACATCTAAACCGCATCTTCTTGGTCAATGTCACTAGAATGAAAAAACTTCCACAAGCACAAAAATAATACCCTAGCATG